CCGATGAAACCCTGACGAACTGCACTCTGACTCTGTCTGGAGCCGGCCTGTTTAAAGCGGACGTTGATTGCCAGTAAGAGATATGACTATGCTTTTTCCTTACAAATGTTTTTTTTTTTTGCAGAAAAAGTCAGCTACATCACACAGTCTTCAAAAAAACAAACCCCAAATTATCTGTTCAATACGGAAGCCGAGAGCGGTCATGGCCGCACGGCGTTCGTTTTCTCGAGATAACGAGATAATTATCCCGTTGACAGTTTGGGCTGTCAAACAGGTGTCAAACAGAGGTCCCACACACCTGGGATTCCATCCTGGACCGGATAGGAGTGGGCAAACACAAACACCAGTTATCTCGTTTTCATGAGAAAACGATTCTTGTTATCTCGAGATAACGAGAAAATTAACTCGTTATCTCGAGAAAACGGCGAAGAAAGAACAGTAGCGGAAAACGACCGCTCTCGGCTTCCGTAGTTCAAAGAATAAGCCAACAAAACACAGATTTTACATAACTTACATTTTTGATATTTTCTTCTACAGACACATTTTAACTGGTACCACACAAGAACTGAGCACCGATAGCAAGCTGGCTGCAATAAGCAAACTTAACTGCCCCTCGTGTACATATTGAATAATACACTCTGGAATTTACGCAGGGTTTACCCCGAAACATAACGGCTTCCTTTAACCCTTTGTGTTACCTGCAGGATTCCAGATCTGCAACCAAACAACAGGATACGTGTCAAGTTCTTCTTTGTTCCCTACAAGAAAGGAGAGAAGACCATCACCGCCGACTTTGACTGCGCCACCTTCAGGGACATTAAGGGCTCCTGCACTGTCAACGTCGTCTAATGAATTCTCAGATCGCTCAGAATCAGTTGTGTGCTCAGAAACGCTAGATGCAATTACTTCAGTTTCGTTTTGTTTTTTTACATGAAATGAAATTTTGTTTGTTTTAGAGATCCGCAGGGTTTACGATATCATAACCTCTGAATACATTTGCTACATTCTGGGAGTTAATTTCTTCATGTGGTCACTATGACATCTGTGCTTGTAATGTGCTTTTTTTTTTTTTTAGTGAAACTTCATTCAATGATTTCTAAGAGAAGCTGCATGAAACCTGTGGGTACAGGTTTTCAAAGACGGCTAACAAAACATCCAACAGCTCTGAACGTACAACGAGACTTTAGTATTTTCTGCGACTGTCGTTGCGCTTCTTTTTTTCTTGTGTGTTGCCAAATATTTGTACTGAAAAGGAGCTTCAGCAAGAAGCCATTGCACCTTTAAAATCCTTGATGAACCCAGAACAACAGGTCAAACAGGGAAGTCTCATTTCTAGTGTTATTGCTTTCAAGAAGGCTCAGTAGTGCATAAACACTGCAGCCAACACTTGACTCCTGACAGAAGATTTAAACTTGCATATATTCTTAATAAAGGACAGTTGGGGGGGAAAAAAAACAAAGAAGAAAATGTCAAAATGTTCACTTGAAGCTTAATAAAAGTTATGGTGCTTTCACAGCTAACGTGTTTGGTTTATTTCAAATGAACTCTGGAGTGTTTGCTCTGTTATATATTGACAGTCAGAACCTGGTGCTGAAGAAACGACCTTAACTTAAACCACTTCAAAAGGACGGTGGTTCCTTTATGGTGTTGAATCAACCACAGCAGTTTCCTGTATGTGATCTAAGTATGATTTCAAAAGATAAACTACTATTAAAGCCACTTCTTGATTGTGAACTGAAGCGACTTTAAGCTTCTTTTAACATTTAATCAGAGGAAACACGAATGATTGCAGCGATTGTCTCTAAACAATCCGTCAAAATCTGAGATTGTGTGCATTTGCATTCTGCTCCGTTTACATTCGGAGTCCACCGACTCCTTCCCAAAGACACCAACAGTTTTCAAACACTTTTTAAATGCAGTTTTTGAACAATTTACTCTTTAGAGTTTTGCATGATTTGGCCAATTACAGCCAGAAGAGTATTAATTTACATGTTGACCCTAAACAAAGAGCAAAACTTCATATTAATGTGAACTGTCATGATCAATTGTAAGTAGACAGTGTTTAGGTGTTAGAACACGAATGGACAAAACATTTTAAAGTACAGTAATCAGAGAAGAAAAGAGCTTCTAAACAAGATTTCAAAGGGGCAAATTGTAACCATGTGGGATTTTCCTCTGAGCAGCTTTTGCTTTCTAAACTCTGAAATAGAAACCAGACAACTGCTGCTCTCTGTCTCATGAGGCGTTCGAGGCTCCGGTGAATATGGTACAAATCAGCTTCCAGCCCCACAGTAAAGCAGACTTTCACTGCTCAACAAACAGACATAGAAGCACCCAATGATTGATCTGCGCTCTTTTACACAGATTATTCCTTTTTACAGCGCAGAACTAAATCCTGATCCAGATCAAATTAACCAAGAATTACCCTCTGATTCCTGAAATGTCGGCACTGCTTCACCATTTCTTTGTTCAAAATGCTACATGCAGACGTGCTGTCGGTCAAATATGTTTCGTGTTGAAAGTTTTAAAAGTGTCAGAATCCAAATCAGTTCTTTTGGCAAGGAGGTTTTCACTCTGACAAGGAGACAACTTTCAAAGAACAATAAAAACATATCAAAAGAAGCAAGCGTTGCAAGTCCAGAGACGGCTGCATTCAGATACACCCGGAGTGAACACACCGAGTCATGTATAACACATAACACTGCAATAACAGGCTAAAACAAAACTGAAAGCAGCTCATCGAGGTGTTCAGACAGCTAGCAGCCCAGATTCTGATTTCTTAAACAGTAAAGCTGTGATGTGACAAAATGTGGACCTGCAGCTAATAAACTTTGACTCTGTTACGGCTCATCATGAACAAAAGGATCCTGCTTAGAATTTACATTTAATTAAGTTACCAGCGCTGTTGTGTCTCTCTCTCGCACATATGTGGATCCTGATGCTGCAGGTACTGAACAAACTTAGAGGAAATAGCTCCAAACAACTGGAAGCAACGCGTCTGAGCTCGTCCAGATGTCTCGTATGGGAGGACAAACAAAAAACAAACAAACAAAAAACTCAGATTACATTCATTAATGGTGGGTATCATTAATCTTTAGGATGTTAATGTCTAATAGATTTGAAACTGCAGAGCAAAGTGAAAAAAGCACGTTGTGATCTTGGCGCACAAACTGCATTTGAGCGTCTCTGTGATGTTTTTGGATGATTTTGTTGCTAAACAATGAAAAATCCTTCCATCAATCACTTCACACAGCTTGTGCTGTACATACAGTTCAAGTCAGACTCGTGTTGAAAACTATATCGTAGGTTCGACCTGATGAGATTGTTTTAAGGTTAAGCAACCGGGGTGCCTCGCAGCAAGAAGGTTGTCGGTTCACGTCCCGGTGGGGGCACCGGAATCTTTCTGCGTGGAGTCTCCATGTTCTCCCTGTGCAGCGTGGGTTCTCTCCGGGTTCTCCGGCTTCCTCCCACAGTCCAGAAACATGCTGAGGTTAATTGGTGATTGTAAATTGTCCGTAGGTGTGAATGTGAGTGTGCTTGGTTGTCTGTCTCTATGTGTAGCCCTGTGATAGACTGGTTACCTGTCCAGGTGAACCTGCCTTCACCCTGAGTCAGCTGGGATAGACTCCAGCCCCCCATGACCCTAGTGAGGATTAAGCGGTGTATAGATGATGGATGGAACCGGGGTGCACATTCAGCAATGCAGCCGAGTCGTTTAGTTGCCCTGCAAGGGGTATAAAAGGGGTAAACCTCTTGCTATGTGCCATATCATACTTATTTTATTTATCTTTTAAATTTTAAATCATAGTCTCCATTATATGGATCTATGGCGTATGTAGTGTGTGTATAGTATTGTATTATATGGTATTTCTCAGCTCTTCCTATCTATAGTTTATTTGTTCTCTTTTTCTTCTTGACACTATTTCGTGCTCTTTTCCTGAAAAATAAAGTACAATCTAATCTAATCTAATCTGGTCTAATTTGACTTTAATGGACTGAGGAAGCCAGCATGTCTGAAAGGGGCTTTGGAGGAATAAGTTCGAAACAGCTGGAAGAATCACACACCAGCTCCTCCTAATGTCTTGTAGGGGGAAATAAAACTCCAATTACATTCATTACTCTGTTTTTTGTCTGTTATGACTAAAATAGCTGGACCCGAGTGGTTCTTCCACTCAGAAGATGCGCTGCCCAATTCGACCAGCAGAGGACGCGCCAAAAGTCCTACACGTCCCTGAGCACTTGAACGCAGCGTTACACTGAAGCGAAACCGATCCAGCGCAGCTCGGCCCCCTCCCGGAGCAGCAAGCTGAGAAGTTGCTGGAGCCAGCCGGCAAGTTCCTTCACTCCCCCCCGCCCGCACGCACGCACCACTCCGCTGCTCAAAACCCCCGCACCGACCGAGGCAGGGCAGAACCTCGTGGACGAACACCGGAGCGCACAGAGTAATGTCAGTGCCTGCGGCGCTCACTAGGGGAACCCACAGTTTCAGGTGCCGGTAGCCGTTCGAGCCTCGTCGTCGTTCGCGTCGTGAGGAGCGGGGACTTCCTCGCCGTGTTGCTATCTCTCTTCTCAGCCGGTAAGGAGACGCTAACGTTGCTAGCTGTAGCCTAGCTAGCTTAGCGGCGCGCAGCGTAGTTAGCCCGCTGCTGGCAAATGCCGTTCGAATTAGCACGACTCAGCTAGCGAGCTAACTTAGCTAGTAGGCGACAAATAAAAAAAGAAATGAGTACAGGTAACGCAGGTTTTAAACAAAACGCAACTTTGGAAATAGAGTCTAAAAGTGCCTCCTTTTTAAATGTAAACTTTTATTGTTAGTTTCGAGAAGCTGTCATGAAGACAATCTGCCTGAGTCACTATTAGCAGCAGGACTAGTGCACAACTAGTTAAGCTAACATGTAAATGGGGTGAACTGGTAAACAGTTTGTCAGCTGAGCTTCTGCTAAATAATGTGAGTGGACACCATTAGCTAACATGTACTGATGATTCTGGGTTTATTAGGTTCAGGCAGGTAAAACATATGCATCTGTTTTTTCAAAATGTTAAAGAAATGAAAATACTAATTTAATTGTGATGTATTCACCACATTCGCAGCATAATAACATCAGATACATGCGAACAACAGCACAACATGTAGGGTTTAAATAAATCACAAAGGAAAAAGCTGTTCATAACCCTGTAATGTGTGTAATATTCTACTCAGCCGTGGTAATTACACATTTAATAAGGAGTCCATGTTATCGTTTTCTCCCATCTTGGTTAACTTAGAGATCAGACAGCACCAGAATTGCTAATAATCATTGTTGATATGTGATGATTGTGTGATATAGGATCAGTATGTTGCTCTAAAATACACCATGTATTTGATGGAGGCAACATTTGGCACAGCTATCACTCTTGTGGGTGCAAAGCCTGTGGCCTTTTAGTGACACGGCAGCTAATGCACCTTGCTGCTGCTTAAAGCTCAGCTCAGCGCACAAAACCAGGACATTAGTATGTTAATACCTCTCCGTAAAGTGAATGTTATTGTCCTGATGCTTTTATGCTTTGTCAGGAAGCGCACATTCAGTTTGAGCTGCAGCCAGTGCTTATTTTCTTGGATTAATCATGTAGCATGTGAAACTTAAAAAATGCCATTCGTAACTTTGCAGAACCAAAACATCTGAAAGTTTTGTCCAACCAGCAATTCAAAACCTAGTGATACCGTGATAGCAAAATCAAAAATGCTTTTCCTGTAGTTGTGCTTGAAACACATCCATCAGTTATCAGGATGGTTCCAGATTGCGTCGGATTAATTGACTAATTGCTTCAGCTTTTTAAACAATGATGGAATGTCTCCACCTTTAGTCGTAGTTACTCCCTTACTTACCTTACATATGTGTGATCCCATTGAATTCCACATATTCAGGCAGGTTTTAAACATGTAAAAAAAAAAGGACCACACTGGCGTTATAGCTGTATCGGGACTCTCGGAGTTCAGGTGTCTGAATCTGTGTCAGGAGAGAAAAAGGCTAAATTGGTGCATTCCTGAGGATTCAGCAGCTCTTGGGATGCCACTTGAGCCTGTGATTCCAAAAATGTAGGAAACTGAATCAAACTTTGGTATCACGAGTGCGGTTTGTGTTCCAGACCGAGCTGATTGGTCTTCGGTATTGCTGCTTGCAGTTTTCCTGTTATCATCCATTAACCGCTCACCTGCTTAACATCGAGTTGTCAAAACATTGATAATAAAACATTAATTGGCTGACGCTCCGTTAGGTTTCACCAGTAAAACCGATGGAGAGAGAAACTTGTGATTCTGAGTATGATGTAGTCGAGGGTGTTTTGTTAGTTTTGATTAATCTACTGCTTGTTTTTTTTTCCATTAATGAAATTTATTAGTTGGCGAGTTCATTTTTATTACTCATGCATCTGACTATTAATTTACCTCAAATAAATATCAAAAACTTCATCAATATTTTATTCATCCATCAACGTCTGACTTCCACATCACTGCTGTGTTGTTAATAATTAAAAGATCCTAATTGTGGAATGCTGATCACAAAAACTGCTGGGCCTCAAATGGAAAAGGATAAATGCATTAATTTAACCACTGCGTGCCGTTTCCTGAATTGAAGAATCAGTATTTTTACTGAAGCACTTGACTGGTTATGACGTGGATTCATTTCATCAGTGGAGGAGTGTACGCAGTGAAGGTAATCACTGGCAAATCTATTTATGAAGCAGCACAGGCCAAGAAAAAGAGCAGAAACTCTTTACAGACTCGTTAACAACAGTTCATAACAGAGCGTTTTCTCTCTCATAGGTGGTCATTAAAGCAAACATAAAGTATGAAACAGCCAAACGACAGCGTGGTTAACTACGTTTTCATAACAGCAGTGGTGCAGAAATTACTTTTGACGTGTGGGAACACTCAGAAAATCAATCTTAAGTGATACTGCTAACACAAGAGGTTGGTAACTGTTAGAGCAGAAGAACAATAGTATGTGGTATATGAAATGTACTCCGTTAAACGTCTGAACCCGTTTATCACTGATCAGCTGCTAAATGCTATTTTCACGTGCAGATGGTGAGCAGTCTTTCCTCTTTTCAGGTGACAGTTAAAAAGAAAACATGCCTCAGAAACAGAAGTCAAAGTCGTGGACGGAGCTGAAACAGGCCGGTAACGAATGCTTTAAGACGGGCCAGTATGGAGAGGCCACGGCTCTGTACAGCCAGGCAATCAAGGAGCTGGAGAAGTCCAGTAAGTAGAACCAAAACTATAACCTGCAGATATATTTAATGCATCTCGGGAAGGTGTGTTTAATCATTGTGGCACATGAAACTCGATCCAGTCGGCATGTACTGACGTCTGTCTTCACAATATTCCACTTTGCAGAAGATGCCATGTAGGTGCATGACGATTAGAAATTAATCATCATTCCTCTGTCATGATAAAGTAACGCCTGCACACTGATGTCATGTCTTAAATCAATTTAATAAACTTTGATTTGATTGTAGTTGGATCTTCACCAGTCGGTGTCCCGACCCTTTAATCAATGTTTTCTCTCTCTGGTCATCTGTGTGTGTGTCATCTAATGGACAGAGCGTTTTAGTTTGAAGTGCTGCTCCTCAAAAGATTGTTTTTTTTCCCCCCATTTAAGGTAAAAAGAGCCCAGATGATTTGGGCATTTTGTACTCAAACCGTGCAGCCAGCTACCTGAAGGAAGGCAACTGTGGAGAATGTGTGAAAGACTGCAACACGTACGTTTTTAGACCCCGTTTTTATCTTTCTGGGTTTTTGATTCTGTGCAGTTGTTAATTTGTTTACCTATTACTTTGTTTATTCACACACAAGATGTTTTCATCTGTCAGCGTTTTTGTTATTTTAGATTTTTATGCCACTTGTTTTTCTTCTGTTTAAATGTGGCTCAGACGCCCAAGAACTGACAGAAACATGGTGATATAATGACATTTAATTTTCTCTAAATGGTGTAAAAAGGACCCTTTTTGAAAGAAACATTTCAGGTGTTTATAGTCTGTTGCAGCTTTTGCCCTTTGAGTCAAACAACAGCACAACAAAATAACTCCATTCTGCTGCCTCAGCTTGAAAACAACACCTACCTTGTAATGTGTACGTGTTTTCTTCGCAGGTCTCTAGAGTTGTTTCCGTTCAACGTGAAGTCTCTGCTTCGTCGCGCCGCTGCCTACGAAGCTCTGGAGCGTTACAGGCAGGCGTACATAGACTACAAAACTGCTCTGCAGATTGACTGCAACATAGCAGCTGCTCATGATGGCACCAACAGGTAGGCTGGAGATGGAGGATTGCTAACATCACTGTCAGGTGTTTGTTGTGTCACACATATTCCCTCCTTTAAGCCAGAAGCATAAAATAAAAACTAGAACACTCAGTTGAGGTTTATAGCACCAGAACAAACAATAAGCGACTTTTCAGATCTCATCTAGCTGCGATGTTCTGGGTCTGCGTGGAGCTAGACCAGATCTGGTCTAATTTAGTCCGCTTGGTTTGCTGTTATAGGCTGACAACACAATAAATTATTCAGTGTGAAAGCTATGCAGACCTGTATATTTCTGGTTATAACCTGTTGTCCAGCTATTCTGAGCTATAACACAGCTGACCAGCATTATTGAACAATGTCCAATAATATCTAAAGCCTTCGCCCTTTACCATCTTCTGTCCAGTAGAGCAACGACTTCAGTTTCTTTTTGTCTAGTACATAATAGTAACACTTCTTTCAATGTTTGTCTGTCTGTCAGGATGACAAAGGCGCTCACAGAGGCAGACGGTCCATCATGGAGAGAAAAGCTTCCTCCCATTCCCACAGTCCCTCTGTCTGTACGGGAGAAACTGGCCCAACAAACTGCAGCCAAGACCACACAACCAAACCCCCAGAACCCCACACCACAGCAGAACCCCACGCCACAGCAGAACCCCACGCCACAGCAGAACGGCACCAGGCAAACAAACAAACCCGGTACGGAGATTGTTTTCTACAGAGAATCCCTGTAATTTAAGTCATCACTGGATGGATTTTTTATTTGCAGTTAAAATATGACTCTTTATATAATAATGCATCTTTAGCCCCAATTTATGTGAAACTGGCATCGTGTGAAACATTCTTTATAAATTACAGTAAAACCTGCAGCATGTAAACGCGTCTTTGATTTACTTTTTCATCAGCATGTTGTTTTGTTTTGGGTTTTTTTTTTGAGCACGCAGTCAAACTTTGGATCAATTTCTGAATTCTGAAGAGTGACTCAAGTTTAAATCCTTGACTTTGACGTGTTTCACCAGCTCCCAGTGATAAAGACAGAAAGAAAGGCCAGACCCTGAAAGACGAAGGCAACGCCCTGGTGAAGAAAGGAGAGCATAAGAAGGCCATAGAGAAGTACACCCAGAGCCTCAAACACAACCCCACGGAGATCACGACCTACACCAACCGGTGAGCCACGTGTTCGTCTGGACGGTCGATTGAAGTTGTCTGTAGGCATGCTGGAAATTATGCAGATTTAGTAAACTGCAATAATGACTTCAAGGCTCGTATTGACTTTTGGAACTTCAGTTTCTGAATTTCCCGAATGCATTTAGGTGATGTGTGTTTGTTTTCAGGGTGGAACTTCTGTTTCTGTACCAGCTTACACAAAGTAGTGTCATCTGATCTGATCTTAGTGTTTTATGAACGTAAAGAATCAGTTCAGATCAAAACGTATCCAATGTGGCATATCATCATTTGACAGCCAGTGACGTGTTAAATAAAAGTGTTTTCATTCTGTTATCACTGTGATACTCACCTGTATTCACAGACATGATATTATGCATAAAGTGTGGCTTTGAGATAAAAACAGACCATTCTGTGTTTGGCTTGAGATCATTTTTAAAAAAAGCCCCTCAGATGTCTGATTGTAGTTTGCTGTGTCTGTGCCATCAGGGCGCTGTGCTACCTGTCAGTGAAGCAGTACAGAGACGCCGTCAGGGACTGTGACGAGGCTCTGATGATTGACAGCAGCAATGTCAAGGCTCTCTACAGGAGGGCTCAGGCTCACAAGGAGCTCAAGGTAAGACCCTCAATCTTCACCGCTGCTCCTCAGTTTGTGATTCCCACACAGAGCAATCAGGCGTTTTCAAAGCGTCTGGAGGTTTTGACGAAATAAAAATCATTTCCTACCTCGATAATTGCTGATGTTTCCCCTGGCGGCTTCTCCTCATCAGTATTCCACACACACACAGACGGGACACGCTAAGCTCAGCGCTCACAGCGCCATGCAGCGCAAAAAACAGTGAAAAAACGGCAAGAAAAGAAATGTTTGGTTTACGCACAACGGAAACCGATCGCCTGTATGCTGTTTATTAAGATGAGATGGTTACTCAGGCATCTACTCTGGATAAAAAGAGAGCAGTTGTGATCAGATATCGGCCAGGTTTAAATCATGGAGATACTGTCCAATTGGGCCTCATTCGTTTTAAAACATTTAATTCAACAGATCATTTGCTGCATGTGCATAAAAAAGAAAGAAAAGAAAACCAAGACATACAGTCCAGGAAGTCCAGTGTTAGTTATAGAGTCTGGAGTTTATAATATGGGATTAAAAAGTTTGGAAAGTTAGTTTTTCTGTCGTCACAGTCATCCCTAGGTCAAGAGAAGGAATACTAGGGCGTCCCTGTAGCTCACCTGGTTGAGCAAACGACCCATGAACAGGGGCTGTAGTTCCCTGATGCAGCGGTCGTGGCTTCGACTCCCGCTCACGACCCTTCGCTGCAGGTCTCTCCCCCTTTCCTGTCTCTCTCTACTGCTCTAAATAAAGAAAAAAAGCTTAAAAAAATGTATTTAAAAAAAAAAAAAGGGAGAGAGAAGAAATTCTCTTTCTGTCACAACAAAGTAATCCACAGTTAAACGGTTCTTCAGCTGCAGTCTTCAGATGGACGTCCCAGCAAAGCAACAAAAACTGAGTGAAGTTCAGTTTTCTTATCGGATGACCCTGCACTGGCCAATCCTGCCTGACTGCACCCTAAATCCCACCTCTTTGTGCCGTCATAGGGAAACTTAGGGAGAAGCTGCATGTGTTTTTACCTCTAATCACCTAAAATAAATGCAGTAACAATTGGATTCAAACCAACCTCGATGACGATAAAGGACTAAAGTTTTTGCTCATGTGGTTGAAAGATTTCATGCAAACTGAGAAGTTAAGTACAGAGGTGCCTGGGGCCGAACAGTTCATCAGTTTTAAATCAATATCACAGTTGGAAACAATGCAATTAGCAGTTTGCAGAGGCTGCAGTTCAGAATGTATGAGGTGCGGTTATTAAAGACTGAGACTAATGCCTTAATTCAGCTCTATTTAACTTGAGCATATTGAAACTTGCGGGGGTTGTTTATGCTGCTGAATGTGCTTCAGGCACGCACGCCGTGGTTCACTGACATTATTAAATAACGCTACTCGTTATTTAATAGGCACACCTCATATAATTTGCAGCGTGCTTGAGCCAGGTTTTAAACCGTCGTTTCAGTAGTTTTAAATATTTGTCTCATGAGATAAAGTTTGGCTCGTCAAATCTTTTACACACTCAATACGGAGTCTGTTAGAAAAATCACAATTAGATAGTTTAACATATTTTCCATCCCAAACATGATGCAGTCTTTATACAGTGTGCACAAGGATGGATTTTGCATCATAAATTTGAACTTCTGAAATTCATTTTTGGAGAATTCATCACTGAAAACCCTGCTGTGTAAGATTCTATGTAGAAGAAACTCCAGATCGTCCCTAATTGTCTGCTACGTCCTGAAATGTCTTGCCTTAAATTCTAATAGTTTAATCCTAACAACTGGACTTGCTTGAATTCCTTGAAGACGTTCCACCTCTCATCCAAGAGGCTTCATCAGGTCTGACTGACTAGTTGGGAGTTCCAGATACTTTTATCCTTAAGGAGCCATTAACACCTGAGTTTGAGGGTTTGTTGCTCCTCCCCCTCGTTATGTGAGTCATTAGTGCTCGCCCTGCTACAAAGGGGTTCGTTAGGGTCTTTATGTGGCTCGGTGTGGATGTGGTTTCATCTTCCTGGGGAGAGATCTTCAGACTGAATTGTAAACAGGTGAGAGGTGACGCCTCAGACCTCCACCTCTGTTGAGGGATGGTCCTTCCAGTTAGATGGATCTCTAACCATCGGTCCTCCCTGCAGGCCAAAATCTGTACATTGTTGTCTTCAAAAGAGTGTCCGTTGTCCTTGAGATGCAGGTGGACTGCTGCCTCCCAACTTAGCTCCCAACTAGTCGGTCAGAAGTGATGAAGCCTCTTGGATGAGAGGTGGAACGTGTTCAAGGAACTCAAGCAAGTCCAGTTGCTAGGATTAATCTACGAGGATAACCTTAAAAGTATTTCAGGAAAACACAAAAGTCAAGAACAGACAGACATTTAGGAAAGCTCACTTAAGTTTATGCCGGACTGGTATGTCGTAGCTATCAGGATTGTATTGAAGTCGGTCTTGTGAAGGCTGTAATAATGATTTATTTACATCAACTATGGATCAAATAACTCGACGATGTGAAACATGTTCGTAGGGACTCAGCTCCACATAGAGTTTCAGCTCACTGTTTTGGTTTCACAGCTTAAACCTCGACTGTTTTCCGTCAGTGTTTCCTTTCCCATCGGCCTCGGTTTGGTCTCTAACTGTAGATTCTTGTCGTGATCCCTGCAGGACACCAAAGCCTGCGTGCAAGATCTGAACAGCCTGCTGAAAGTGGAACCAAAAAACACGGCCGCCCTGAAGCTGCTGCAGGAGGCGCAGAAGAAGTAGCGAGAGCACGTCAGGGACTCTGGAGGCAGCGGCAAGGATCAGTCACTGCACTGCGCACAGAAAAGGAAAGAGCCAGACCACGCTGATCGTGTTTGTTGTAAGAAATCAGGTGATGGGGTTAAAAAAAAAACAAAACAAAAACAGCCAAGCAGTGACACGATTCAACCCGCTTTAAATCAAACACCGGGCCTGTGTTTCCCATGAAGCTCCTTTGACCCGAACACGTTTGATCTGTTTACTCTCACTCGAACAAACACGAGCTCGGTCTCAAGACGCTTCTGGAAAACGCAGCAGCTCTGATTGGTTGAGGGTTTGTCAGGAGCGAAGAGGCGCTGCCAATACGAGCCTTAGACAAGACCAGAGGTATTTGCTTCATACATGTCTGTTGAAATGATTAGCAAACCCTGATTCACGCCCTGTGAATCAGTCACTGGAGCTTCACTGTTGAAAAACAATAAATAAATAAAGAGTGAAGTAATGTAGACGTTAATCCATATTAAAAACCACTTTGGAGTTAAATCGAGCAACCTATCTAAGCAGCCGTGACCGTAAGAGGATTTTTTGTTTTTAATTTCATGTTCACGATGTTGTACATTCAGGTAGCCTCCTTATTTATCCTGTGTTTGGTTTTTGAATACGTGTGAATGTTTGTCTCTCTCTCAGTGGATTTATGTGACGATGATGGCGTAGAAACTCCCACGTCGAGCTTGATTTATGCTCCTGAGCTGAACGGAGCTGATGTGAGCCACTGACGCTGACTGACATGGAGCGGACCACGTTGTAGGTTAAGATGATGATAGGGGGGGTGGAAGCGATATGGCAAAAATATCATATCACGATTTAAATTTCATCACGATCTTACACGTATGGTTGAGACCGAGTGCGGCTGGACCACAGATCACTCGTTGTTGCGAAAAACTGAACTTTGCGTTCAATCTTTTCTCGGCATTCAGAGTCGAGACGTGGAACGGCAGCGTTGGAGAAGGGTAGCTCGTACCGCGGGTCGACTGCTCTGAGCAGGGATTTGAACCCCTCGTTTTCTTTAACAGAACCACTGTACTGTGGCCGCTAACCTAAACATCCGAAAAACCTAAAAAACCTCTCGGCAGAACGAAAACTCACCGGCCGCCACCACCAGGCGACCCGTCTGTGCAAACTTTGCTAAGAAATTGCGTCACTAATTCCCT